CATCCAGAGCCTTAATGTTCATGAGCCTTCTGCGCAAGCTGGTCACGGGGATCTTTCCTAACATGGATTTATTGATGAAGTAGGAGAGTGTACTTAACTGCGTTTTCCTCCCTTTTTTTATAGGTTGTAACTTTTGCAAGACTTGTGCCATGAAGTAGGACAAACCAGCATTTTGAAGAGCTCTGACACAGATACGGCTGTATCTCTGAACAGTGGCGGATTTACTGGAGACTCTTCCCAACGCCTGCCCAAATCAGAACCTGTTACCTTTTCAAAAGCTTCATAATGGAGCTGTTAGTATCCAAAGGAGATTATATGAGATATTTCAGAAGATCTTTATTGCTAGTTTTAGCATGTGTAATAGTTTTTGTGTGCACTGATCAGGACTACTATAGTTTACTTGGAGTATCCAAAGAAGCAAGTAGTAGAGAAATACGACAAGCGTTCAAAAAACTGGCGTTAAAGTTGCACCCTGATAAAAATCAGGTGAGTTACATTTTTAACAAATCTAAGTTGTTGAGTTAATGGATCTTAAGGTTTAAACAAAAAGTGGTTTTAATTTATCTAAAATCTTTCTCTGTTCTTGTGAAGTAGTGTAACTACCTGATAATATGTTTCAGCCCAGATCTGCTGCAGAGGAAATTTACAGAAAGGGATAGACTGATACATGGTTGTGTTGAATTTGGTCTGTATGTAATTGCTGCAGTTAAAAAAAAAAAAAAAAAAAAAGGTCAAGATCATTTAATTTTCAATTATATTTTTGCAAATAGAAGAAAACTTGCATTTGTACTGTATTACCTTGTTGGTAAACTGATGAGTTTATCTCTTTCCATTTAGCTTAGGGGAGCTTACCGTTTCCCTAACATGAAGTCTCATCTAAACAGCAAACAACACCAGCCTGTACTGAGACATCAATCTCCAAGTATTGAATAGGACAAAGCAGAAATTCTGGGACTGCCAAGGCATAACGAGGGAGGGTAATAAGGAGCTCTAGAATAACTAGAGGGAGAAGTCTGGGAACAGCTCTGTCTGTGCTACTCTATTTTCTGAGTACAAAGAAATAACTTTTAAATGTAAACATCATTGTTTTTCCTCAAGATTTCCCGAAATAATCAGAAATTCACAGGAAAAAGGAGGGTTGGGATCTTTATATATGCAACTGCACCTGCACAGAACCCCAGAAGACAGTAATGTTCCATATGAGCTCAGGACCCACCTGCAGAGAGTACGTTGAAGCCTCTGAGGTGTTAATGTTTTACAATGGATTTGAACATGACAAAACTCAAAGAGAAAGTCAAATCTCAACGAAGTTAGAAATGCCAACTTGTAGCTATTAACTGCAAGTTTTGTATTCCCTGTGTTGATACCTTCAAAATAATAACATTTTGGGTCAGAGTCTGTAGTTTCCAAGTATGCAAATACTACTAAAGATTTTCAACATTAAAGATTGTATATGGAAGATGAAACCATTACACAAATTCCATAATGGTAATTCATTTCATGTGTATCTAGGTAAATAAGTCAAGAATCTTTAAGAAAAAGTGTCTTTTGAATGAAGTGGGTAAGCAGAAGTTAAAAGGGTAGGAGAGTGCAGCGGATTTTGCTCACCACTGCTATATTGCACCAGCTTGGAACCCAAACTGGTTCAAAATATGTCTGCAAATATTTCACCATTCTAATTCTGAAGCTACCTAGAACCAGAATGCTTTTCAAATAAAAAAGGGTGCCTCTCTCTACACCATAAGATCAGAAGGGGTGAATCGGTCTTTATACCAGAGAGTTTCAAACAGGACAAGTGGGGGTTCTAGGGGAGCTGAAAAGATTTTAGAGGAAATGGTAAGCCTTCATTCTTAAGCACTTATTTTTTTCTTCCATTGAAGAAAGAGAGTTGAAAGAAGAGGGGCAGTGGAGAATGTTCCAGCCTCCTCCAGTTCACTTTGTATTTCAGTTGGTACTTTAGTTAGGATGAAAAAATGAGAAGATGCGTCTGGGTTCAACAAAGGAAAACTTCACTGTAGTTTGTTTGGAGATCCCTGTGTAATGTCTGCTTCTATCACAACTGACATCTTTGGTAGGGATATAAAAATATTTTCAAATATTATTTTCTGAGCATTATATGTACAATGTGGTTTATTAATTACTAATTATAGTTTTCCTTAAATAGAATGATCCAAATGCACATGAAAACTTTTTGAAAATAAATAGAGCCTATGAAGTACTTAAAGATGAAGATCTACGGAAGAAGTATGATAAATATGGAGAGAAAGGTCTTGAAGATCAGCAGCAAGGAGGTCGTTATGAAAGCTGGCACTTTTATCGCTATGATTTTGGTAAGTTATGTGTTTGTGATTTGCTTAAAACAGTCACAAGTAAATGCAGTATCTGTATCAGATCTTTTTACACATTTTTGATGTATCCTCTCCAGATTTCTGCCCGCTCTGTTCTCCTGTATCTGTCATTTTCTCTCTGTTGACCCAATCTTTTATTTAGTCTATTAATGGCTACCCAGAAATGTAAGAATATATTTACCTAGCCTTTTGTTACTGCTGCTTACCTTTTTATTGGTCATCTGGTTTCTTGTTATTTTTTTTTAAAGTGCAAAGCTTTTTTTTCCACTTAAATTCCAGTGTTAATGTTTCATCAGTATTCTTTTTGACTCCTTAATGCAGGAAGACTCTTTTGTTTAGATAAAGTATTCTCAAGTGGATTTTGAGAGGAGATTTTTGCACTGTCAAGCCTATTTTATGTGCAGTTATACAGTTAGAGATCAGTAAAGAGGCAGTAGAAAATTAAAAACTAGTAACAGAATAATACCTAAAATGATCTTGAGACAAGTTATTTGATGTTTGTCTCAACAAATTTTGTGTAGTTGTA